TAATATTTTTGTGGAAACCGTGATACAATTTATTTTTCAGGATTCACAGATGAATAGAAAGTTCAAAAGAACAGCATTTATTTGAAATAGAAATCTTTTGTAACATTAGAAATGTCTTTACTCTCACTTTTGATCAATTTAATGCATCCTTGATGAATAAAAGTATTGATTTCTTTAAAAAAATCGTACAGACCCCAAATTTTTGAACAGTAGTGTATTGCAAACAATAAATTACATGCACACCACATCTGCATATTGCCTACTGTTCTTTTTTATTAATATATGAAACAGTAAGCATTTATCTACTGATAAACATTGCAAAAACTAGTATGTTGCATGTTAAGCGATCAACTCAGAAGTCCTGGTATTCCTAGAAATGGCTCAGTCGTCTGCGTCTGCATAATTCTCTGATGTCGTTGAGAGATTCATTCATTATGAAGAGATCAGAGCCGGAAATGCACTGAGATGATGAAGCGACTGGAAACTCTTCCGATGTTTCTCTCACTGCGTATTATATCATCAGATGGCTGAGAAACGCAGAGATGCAATGCTTTAGCGACGTCGCCCAGCCCTAAACTCCAGCATTATCATTATCAGGCTTCCTATCTACATGGCTTGTTTGGTTTGGATTTCCTCTTTACTCAATTTTCTGTAATCAGGGAGTGTTTTCCCAGTGGATTCTGAAATATGAAGGATTGTTTCTCAGCTGTAGATGTTTTAGCCCTTTTGCTGGAGTCTCTGTCATTTATTTTGCAGTAACGCTCCTGACAGCCGCGCTCTGTAACGCCGTCGGCAAACTCTGCGATGACAAACCGCACACGCTCAGTGCTGCATTACATTACAGCTCAGTGTGTTCATTTAAATCATACAACTCTGTTTGTTTCAGGACTGTAAAGAGATTTACACATCACAGCCCAGTTATTTATTTATTTATTTATTTCTAAATAGGAAGCATGTGGTGTGAAAATGATCTGAAGTGGCCGAAGTGAAGTTTAATTTATTTAATTTTTATTTATTTTTCTAATTTTTTATTTATTTTTCTTTTTTGTATTTTTCTGATATATATATATATATTTTTTTTTTATTCATTCTTATTTGTGTTTTTCTCATTTTTATTTATTTATTATTTTTCTAATTATTTTTATTTTTTATAAATTATTATTTTATTTTAATTTTTTTATTTATAATATTATTCTTCACTCTCATGCTTATGTATTTTTCAAATTATTATATTTTATAATTTATTTTTCTAATATTTTCTTTATTTTTTATTTTTCTGATTATTTATTCAAATGTATTTATTCATATTCATTAATTCTTATTTTGTTCATTTTTATGTATTTTAAATGTTTTATTTATTATTTTTCTAATTTATTTTTTATATTTTTTGTGTGTTTAGTTTTC